CTCCCCCCCCACCCCTCCCCGGCTGAAACTGACAGGTAGCGCAACCGCACAAACGTAGCATCCGGTTCGGTCGAGGTCGGCTCGCCGTCGTCGTCAACCACCATGTGTCAGACCGGAGGCCAGGACAACTGCAACATCGCCTGCACCGCAGACAACGTCCTGACCGACTCCAAAAAGGCTCACATCCGTGACACCCTCATCCCGGCCGCTACCGCCTACCTCACTTCGGCCCTCGATGTCATCTCTGTCTCGGGCAACCTGCGCGTCGGCTCCGACAACGAGTGCACCATCCGCGACCCGCTCACCATCCCGCCGCAGTACCTCGACTCGGGCGCAGGCGTCGCCGCCGACATCATCCTCATGGTCTCCGCCCGCCCCACCGCAGGCACTCTGCTCGCCTTTGCCGGCGCCTGCAAGGTCGACCAGTACAACCGCCCCATCGTCGCCAACATCAACTTTGGCCCCTCGAACCTCAAGCCGCAGACCCCGGTCGACCCGTCAGAGCTCGGCACCGCCATCCATGAGCTCGTCCACGGCCTCGGCTTCACAGCCACCGGCAAGACCGGCTTTGCCAAGTTCCTCGACCTCGCCACAAACACCACACGCCCAGAGGCCCAGGTCATCGGCGCCACCGTCACCGTCGGCTCCACAAACTCCTACTCTTACGACGCCATCAACACCACCGCCGCACTCGCAGAGGCCCGCGCTCACTTTGGCTGCAACTCCCTCGCCGGCGTCCCGCTCGAGCAGCAGGGTGGCTTAGGCACCGCTCGCTCACACTGGGAGAAGCGCGTCTTTTGGAACGAGCTCATGACCGGCACATCCTCCGCTGACCCGCGCGTCTCGCGCATCACCCTCGCCCTCCTGCAGGACTCGGGCTGGTACACCGCAAACTTCGACGCCGCCCAAAAGTTCTCCTTTGGCAAGGGCAAGGGCTGCTCCTTCATCGACAACAAGTGCGTCGCCGGCTCCTGGCCCGCAAACTACATTTGCTCCACAGACAAGGTCCGCTCCTGCAACTTTGATCGCTCCGCTCGCTCGCAGTGCCAGCTCGTCGAGTACTCCTCCGGCGGCCCCGCCGCAGACATGCAGTACTTTTCAAACCCCAACCTCGGCGGCGCAGACTCGCTCGCTGACTTTTGCCCCATGGTCATCGAGTTCTCAAACGGCGTCTGCTCAAACACCGCCAACATCGACGCCAACAACGACCCGTTCTTCGCCCAGGTCTTCTCGCGCGACTCGGTGTGCATCGACTCCTCCATCGGCCTCGCCGCCGGCGAGGAAAACATTCGCTGCTACCGCTCAGGCTGCTCCTCGGCCACGCAGGCCGTCGTCCAGGTCGGCGCAAACTGGGGCTCCTGCGCCGGTGGCGAGTCCGGCCTCACCGCCGCCGGCTTCTCAGGCTCCTGGGACTGCCCCTCTGCCGAGTGGGTCACCGCCCAGTGCGGCGCCACTGCCTCGTTCCCCACCCTCACCGCCGTCGCCCCGACTTCCATCCAGCTCACCGGCGGCGAGAGCGTCACCCTCACTGGCTCCGGCTTTACCGCTGACATGTACGTCGCCATCGGCCCGGTCTCATGCAACTCCATCGTCCTCCTCTCCACCACAGAGGCCACATGCACCACCGCCCCGTCAACCATCCCCTCCTCAATCGCCGCAAACATTGCTACCGTCCCGCGCACCGCAGCAATCATCCGTGCCGACGCCTCCGCCGCCACTCTCGCCAACGCCGCCACCGTCGTCACCCCATCGCCCGCCGTCTCCCTCCTCCCCGCCTCTACCCTCGTCATGGCTGCCTCGCTGCTCGCCGCCCTCGCCATGCTCTTTGCCTAACCGCTTTTCTCTCCCGCTAAACCCGTGACTCTCTCTCCACCCTACCGCCGCTTGCCGCCCGGAAAGAGGAACGGAATTGCCGCAGGAAGGTGCGCCGCCCACGAGCTCTCATTGTGCGCTCCGTCGGCGTGCTCGGCGAGTACAACCTCGTCGCCGATCGCCAGCCCCGCCCCGATGAGTGCGTCAACCACGCCGCGCGTCTCGTACAGCTGCGCTAGCTCGTCGTCCTTCCCGCCCACTCCGAAATACATCCGCGTCCGAGGCCCATCTCCCTCCTCCCCGAACACCTCAGCCGCCGCCGTCGCCGCAGACACCCCGTACGAATCGAGGAACCAGAACGACGGCGAGAGCCCGGCAACAGCACCAAACGTCTGCGGTGCGTGGAGCGCCGCCATCAACGCCGTCAACCCGCCAAACGACGCCCCCAGCAGCGCCGTCGCCTCCCGCCCGCACCCCGTCGCCCATCGCCCATCCACGTACGGCTTGACAACCGTGAGGAGAAAGTGCAGGAAAGGCGTCGGCCCATCGTGGCCCTCGAGCCCGCTCTCCACGCTCCCCGCCCCGCCATCCCCCAGAAACGACCGCGGGACGTACTCTTGCTTGCGCTTGAGCGCCAGCGCCGGGATGGCGACCGCGATGAACGGCTCGACCTCGCCGGATGCCCACAGCGCATCGAGCGCAGAGTGGAGGAACATGCCGTGGCTGGCCTGCTTGCCAAACGCGTGCTGCCCGTCGAGAACGTAGAGGACCGGCAAGCCGACCCCGTCGTCGTCGCCAGCGCCGCGCCCACCTCGGAGCTGCGGCGGGAGGTAAACGTAGAGCGGCCGCGGCTCAAAGCCATACGCAGCCGAGAGCGCGTCGTGCGGGAGCTCGTGCGGACGGACAACCACAAAGGCGTCCGCCGCAGCATGCGGCACAGGTGGAATGGGATACGCGAGCGCCGCGCCTGAACTGATGGAAGCCGCCGTCACCCCACCATGGCCGACACGGAGGACAGAGTTGTGGAACCCGTACGCTTCGCTCGCCCCAGCTGCAGGATCTGCGTAGTACTCGCCGTCCACCACATACTTGTATCGATAGTACCCGTCCACAAGTCGCATCGTCGTCGTCCATCGCGAGCCACAAGTGCTGGCGCCTGCCTCGCCATCGTCCGCGTCACGGACAAGGTGCACCGCCCCACGCCCATCGCTCGTGCTCGCCCACCCGTTAAAGTCACCGGCGAGAAGGACCGTCGATGGCGAGACCTCCGCCGGGGCCGTAAACACAAACGTGATCTTGATCCAGTCGCCGAGCATGTCGACCAGTGCCTCGGCGTCGTCCATCGCTGCCCACGAGACAGGTGCGGCCACTCCAGATGGAATGAATGGCTGCCGGCGAGGCAAGCGCCGGCGAGACCGGCCCTGGCGAGTATGGATCGTGAGGATGATGGGCCGGGCCGGGCGCAACGAGGCAAGCGCCTGCGAGACCGGCCCTGGCGAGTATGGATCGTGAGGATGATGGGCCGGGCCGGGCGCAACGAGGCAAGCGCCTGCGAGACCGGCCCTGGCGAGTATGGATCGTGAGGATGATGGGCCGGGCCGGGCGCAACGAGGCAAGCGCCGGCGAGACCGGCCCTGGCGAGTATGGATCGTGAGGATGATGGGCCGGGCCGGGCGCAACGAGGCAAGCGCCTGCGAGACCGGCCCTGGCGAGTATGGATCGTGAGGATGATGGGCCGGGCCGGGCGCAACGAGGCAAGCGCCTGCGAGACCGGCCCTGGCGAGTATGGATCGTGAGGATGATGGGCCGGGCCGGGCGCAACGAGGCAAGCGCCTGCGAGACCGGCCCTGGCGAGTATGGATCGTGAGGATGATGGGCCGGGCCGGGCGCAACGAGGCAAGCGCCTGCGAGACCGGCCCTGGCGAGTATGGATCGTGAGGATGATGGGCCGGGCCGGGCGCAACGAGGCAAGCGCCGGCCGCCATTGGCTAGAGTCAACGAGCGGGTGGATGATCACGATTGGCGAGCACACCAGAGACGCCAGCAAAACGTCAGCGACTCTACCCTAATCCGATCCCATTCGCCATCGAACACTCGACGCGGACCATCGAAGCCGACGGACGAGCGAAAGCCTTTCCCTCAATCACCGAGGCCGAGATCGATGATGAGCTCTGACCGGGGTCGAGCTTGGTGGGCTTGATTGAGCTGGAAATGAGTGGGCCGAGCTTGATTGAGCCAGGGACAGCCATGCTGGGTGTTGCAAGCACGTCCCGACGTTTGCAGGCCGCCAGCGACCGCCGCTCGCATACCCCCCCCATCCCCCCTCTGCCCTCGCGGTACAAGGGGTTGCTGATCCCAAAATCTGTACACACATCGTGTACAGGAGCATGCGCACGCGCATTGCGTGCGTGCTTGAGGTTGTGCATGGAAGCAATGGCCCAGGGGAGCGGCGTAAAGTTGGCCATCTGGCGACTTCATCCCTCCCCCTGGTGCACGAAAGGTGACCCCGATTCCAACAGAAATCCGGCTACAGTGTTTGATTAGCCTGCACTACCCCTGTACGGGGCGGTGTTGTTGTAGGTGAGACAGAGATGCCTGTGGCGGCCGTGCTACCGTGGTCAATGCGCAGTCACAGGTCGTTTCTTGACATCTGACGACTACCACAAGGCACCACCCTCTCCCTCAGAAAGGCCGACGGATGATCAAGTTATCGCTTCCCACCATTTGCTCGCTTGCTGGCTGGCTGATGAAGCCATCCATGCGTTCTCTTCGGCTGCCATGAGCTCTCTCTCTGCGGCTTGCGAGTCAGCCATGGATAAAAGGCCACGCCAGGACCAAAAACCCGATGGCTACACTCCTCATCACGACATGTCGTAGCCATCGGCCTGCACTACCCCTGTACGGGGCAGTGTTGTTGCGCTGCCGCTGCTCTCTACTGCTGCTTCAGCTGCTGCAGTAGTCTCTGTGGCCATGGCCGGAAAACACGTGTCTGGCACTCGCCCTCTCTTCCGCAAAAACCGCCACTCGCCAGCCCCTCTCTCCCTCCATCTCAACCCTCCAACGCCGTTATGAGCACGAACATGCTTCATCTCATGGCCATGTACGCCCCCCCGCCCCCCTCCCCCCCTTTCTCCTTCTCCTTCTCCTACTCCGCCCGTTCACCCTCACCCGTACCCTCTCTCCCTCCTCTCCTTCCACCTCCAGCATGATGTCCATGGTTATTGCGACAGCCTCGGCCAATTATCTGGTGACGCGCGGATACAACGCCGACGTGTGCAACGGAGACGAGGTCTATCTCGCGTACTCGAGCGGGTGCTCGGTCGAGCAGCAGTGCCGGACGACTGGCGGACTGTACTCGACGACGGAAACGTGCTCAGACACGACGGTGGCGCCGACGACCACAGACCTGGTCACCGTTGCGTACTGGTCCGATGACAAGTGCTCGGTGACCACCGGCGATGGCCCGGAGACGCCTGTTGCGCAACAAGACAGCTGATATGCACCCGTGCAGATCGGCCGACTGTTACCCAATCTTCCTACTCGGCCCGGCTTTTGCCGGTCCGATCCACGCCCTGGCCTTTAGGCCAGGCCCCAAGTCCAAGCGCTTCATGCGTATGACGAGGCTCACGAGTAAGTCTGCGCCCAGACGGGCCCGGAGAGTCCCTGACTACGGTCGGGGGCTTCGTCCGACGTTCGGTTGGCCGTGGACCCTCTAGTCTACATCATTAAACTGATTCACACACGCAGAGCCATCTGCACGTCGACAACAGATCAAAGCTGTTCAGAGCTTGCCGATCTTAGCCCAAGCGATACCCTCCCGTCCCTTTCACGTAAAGGCACATGCACATGGCGATCTCCCGAGACAGACAAAGACAGCAACTCAACCCCCCCCCCCCCCCTCCCCCCCTCCCCCTTCAAAAAAAAACTCCCCAAAATGCCGCACGTTGCTTTTTTTCGTGAGCGTAATCGGCTCAGGTCAGGACGGGCGGGCGAGTGCCCGTGGCAGGCAGGCAGAGGGCGGGAGGGGGAGGGGGTTGAGGGGAGGCAGAGTGCAAAGACACGTGACACGCGGACGAGAACATGCACACGCCTACGCACGTGCGGTTCAAGGTCTCTGTACCTGTGGGAGCTACTCAATGGGGTGAGTATCTGGCTGTATGTGGCTCGGCCCATGAGCTTGGGAAGTGGTCGGCGAGCGGGGCTATGCGACTCGAGCTGCTGCCTGGCGGCAGTGTGACCAGCGGGGAAGCAGTACTGGTGGTGGTGCTGGTGGTGCTGGTGGTGCTGGTGCTGGTGCTGGTGGGGATGGAGTTGGGCAAATGAGTGGATGCGGAAAAAAGTCGCTCGCCAGTCAATCGCCTGTGGCCGGCAGAGTGGCAGGTGATGGAGGAGGAGGTGGTGGTGGTGGTGGGGAAGAGTCCGAGGCTGGGAGGTGCATCTGGTGTGGTGACATCGAGCTGGCGCCAGCTAGAGTTTAACCAGCCTTCGCTTTTGTATCCGCCGCGAAGCTCATGTCCAACATTGACACGTCGTGTTCCATGGTTTGGTGCTCTCGCGATCACGCTCTGCGCCGCCGCCGCGAGATGCTCGCCATGGTCGACGATCTCGGCCCAGCCACCCTGTTCATCACCATCACGCCCTCTGACACTGCGTCGTTTGACGTCTCCTACCGTGCCTTTCGACCCGAGGACGTCGACCGCTTCGCTGATACGACCCGCGAGCATGTGCCTGACGCGCGGACGCGCACAGCCAACGTTGCGGGTGATCCCACCGCTGCTTCTCAGTTCTTCATTGACTGTATGCGCGCGTTTGTCGAGCGCGTCCTTAAGTACAATGAGGACCCGTCCGTGCATACCGAAGGCCTCTTTGGAGAGGTCATTGCCTACATCATGTCGATCGAGACACAAGGTCGTGGTTGCCTTGTTGGCGTTGTCGAGCTTTGCCTGGACAAGGGCGAGATCTGCGGCGGTGTCGGCAGCGCGACGACGCTCGGTGAGAACGGTGGCGGCGTGGCGTTTGGCGACGATGATGGCGTCGTCGCGCTCTGCGGCGAGGCGATGCGCGGTGCGGGCGGCACGCTTCTTGTCCTTGTTGCGGCGAGCTGCGACGGCGAGGAGTGTGTCCATGACCGAGGCCATGAGATCGCGGAGGGTGGCGTTCTCGCGGGCGAGGACGGCGTTGTCGTCGTAGACGCCATCCTTGTCACGGCTGAGACGGGAGTTGGTTTCCATCAGCTCCTCGAGCGTGTCCTGCATCCAGGCGATGGTGTCGTTGAGCTCGGCGGCGGTGGCGACCTGAGCCGAGGCCTGGCGCAGAACGGCGGTGACGTCGTTGACTTGGGCGGCGCCGGCGCGGGCGTCGCTGGCTTCGCTGCACATCCGCTCCTCGACCGCATCTAGCGTGGACTCAAGGTTGTCGCGGTCGTCGCGGAGTTCGGCAAGCGCGGATTCGTACTCGGCGACGGCAGCAACAAGGGCGTTGCGCTCGGCTGTCGCGGTAGCGAGCTCATCCTTGAGCGCAGCCATGCCGGCGACGTTGCCACGGGCGGCGTTGACTTCGGCGGCAAGCGCATCGCGTTTGGCCTTGACGCCGGCTAGCTCATCGGCTGCTGCCACTGCTGCCGCCTGAGCCTGAGCCAGCTGATGATGCTCGTATGCGTTTTGTACCCGGCGTGCGAGGTACTCGTCCAGCGGCGTACTCGGCGTGCACTCAGCGTGCACTGTCGAGTCGCCAGCTCTCGCTCCGCCTCCCGGCATCTCGCTTGGCCGCCTGGTCTCGCCCATGTCTGCAGACGCAGGCGCCATCGAAGCCTCGTAGCCACTTTCACTGCCAATTTGGACCCGGTGCGGTGAGCCGGCGTCACGAAGCGCGCTCTGGAGCGAGCGCACGTGCGCCTCGAGCCGAAAGACAGCTGCCCGATGAGCCTCGATCTCGCCGGTCAGCTGATCGTTGATGCCCTGCAGTGTCTCGTTCTCCAGCTGCATCCGCTTAGCCATCCGCCGCTCCTCTTCCAACTCGACATCCTTCCTCCGCAGCGCTTCACGCGCACATCCTCATCTGGATCCGCGACCTCAACATGACCACCGAGGCGTTTCAGGCGCAACTCGCAGAGGAGCGCAATAGGGCAATCAACCACGTCATCAGGCAGCATCCACACGTTGTGCCTCTGTCAGGCATCCTTGCAACAGACCCATCCATTGAGGTCATGTTTCGCTTTCTCGATCACGTCCCTCCCTCTGGTGCATCCTCATCGCCGGCGCCTCCTCCCGAGCCCGAGCCCGAGCCCGAGCCGGAGCCCGAGCCCACCCCCGAGCCTGAGCCCGAGCCCGAGCCCACCACCGATGCTGCCGCTCCCACCGACGCTGCCGCTCCCACCGACGCTGCTGCTTCCGCCGACGCTACCGCTCCCACCGACGCTGCCGCTCCCACCGACGCTGCTGCTCCCGCCGACGCTGCCGCTCCCACCGATGCTGTCGCTCCCACCGACGCTGCCGCTCCCACCGACGCTGCCGCTTCCACCGATGCTACCGCTCCCACCGACGCTGCCGCTCCCACCGACGCTGCTGCTCCCGCCGACGCTGCCGCTCCCACCGATGCTGCCGCTTCCACCGACGCTGCTGCTCCCACCGACGCTGCCGCTCCCACCGACGCTGCCGCTCCCACCGACACTGCCGCTCCTACCGACGCTGTCGCCCCCACCGCTCCCGCCCCCACCGACGCTGCCGCCCCCACCGCTCCCGCCGCCGCCATTGCCACCGTCTTCGAGATCGATGATTTTGGTGTGGTGCCATACTACTTACCAGGCGCCCCTGTCGTTCTCTTGCGGACTACGAGCTTGCCGACAGAGAGACCACCGCCTGCCGTCGACGCCTTGCCGAGACTCGCCCGCCACACCTCGTCCCCGATCGTGGCTGACCCGCAGCCACAGGTGAGCGACAGTGGCTTTGCCGCTGACTTCTTTCGCTATGCCTCACGTGGCGTATGGCACGCCAATCCTCTCTCGCTTGCCACTCTGGCCTTTATCGAGGACACGTTCAACGGCTTCCCACCCCTGGTCTGCGGGCACGGCGGCTCATGCCCCGGCCGTGTAAGCAAGTTCGTCGCTGTCCCCGCCAGCACCGACGCCTACTCCCGGCCGTCACGCAACGCAACTGAGCCGCGCCTTGTCAAGTGTCGTGCGTGCTCATCCTTGTTTACCGTCTCACGCGTACTCGACAACATCGCCGAGCACGTCATCAGCAACTTCAAAGAGTGCGTCGGCCCCCTGGAACTGGTCGCCGAAGACTTGAAGTCGGAAAAGCCCATGTCAGACATCGGTCCTGAACTGCGCCTCGAGCCGCGACCCGTAGTCACCACACCCTATCGTGCCACTGGCACGTGCCCTGCTTCGGCCGAAGACCTCGCCTTTCTGCTGTATCTGCAGTACTTGCTCTTGTCCGTCAACACCCATGCCTGGACACATCGTGCCTCTTGCTTCAAGAGAAGGCAGACCACTCGCGGCCAGGCCACCGACCCAACCTGCCGCTATCGCATGCCCCGCGATTCCCATGCCAAGACTATTGCCAAGGGACTCGATCTGTCCGAGCATCCGTTCCTTGACAAGTCGTTTCACCTCATTCACGCGCGACCTGCCGACTCGCGCTGGCTCAACGCGTACCATCCGGCCCTCACCTACATCTTCCGCTCCAACACCGACGTTCGCCTGCTCCTATTGTCGGGCTCTGTCAACTGTGTCTACTACGCTGCAAAGTATGCTTTCAAGCTCTACAATGGTCCCACTGCCCGAGACTCGCTCGCCATCGCGTCCTACGCGAACAAGAAGGCCAGCCTAGCTCATGACATCGACATCACCCGAAAGCAGAGACTGGCTCGTTGTCACGCTTCTGTCGTCTACGCCAAGACATCGCAGTGCGAGGTCCCAGCCACTCTTGCTGCCTTCATCCTCCTCAACGGCAACGATGTCCTCCGCTCGCATGACGTCCGAGTCGTCTACCTCCCCACCCGCTTCAGGCGCCTCTCCGATGCCATCGCGCGTCGCCTCGCGCGCGCTAATGCCATGCTCCACCGGGCCGAGCAGCCTGTCCACCCTCGGCGCGATCCCGAGCACGCTGTCGCTGACGATCCCGCTGTCAACGACCTGCCTGACCTTACTCTCATCGGCAACGCACCCGCACCCCGCGCCGACACTCAGACCGCCGACCCAGTCATCTTTTCGCTCGGCACCAAGTCGCTGGTCGACGACTACGTCTTCCGCGATCCGCTTCTCGCTCACTTGCCGCTGGACACCTTTTGCCGCCTGTTTGACAAACGCGTCTTGCCCTCACGCCTCCGCACCGTCACCAACTCCATCTGCGAGCTGATGACCTCGACCAACGACGAGTATGACGACGCCTACATTGCCCACCTTATCGCCGACATCAATCGCCACGGCTTTGCCTCTGTCTCGCGTATGCACGCGAACAGGCGAGGTCACGGACGCAGCAGCAGCGCCAACGCCGCTGCCCAGTCTCAGCCGCCCCCGCTGGCAGCTGCACACTTCGACCACGACACACTCTTAGAGTTCCCACGAGGTTGGATCTTGTTCAACTCGTCCCACCTCCAGTTTGCCACCCATGGCCTCCGCCGGCGAACCGATCGCGCTGTCGCCACTACTGTCGTTCGTCCAGTTGGCCCTGCCCTGTCCTTCAAGTGGCGCTTGCATCCCGACGCTGATACCACCGACGAGGACGCCATCCGCTTTTCAGCCTTGGTTGTCCTCCGCTGGCTTCCGCATGCTTCCTCAGACAATGCCCTTGATATCCTCTTCTCTTACATCGACCAGCTCCTGCCCCCTGGCGCCGCCATCTCACCTCTCGATCTCGCCAATGCCGCCATCGCTGCTCTCAACGACTACGCCACCTCTGCCGGCCGCTTTGCCTCGCTTGTCCCGCCTGATCTCGACCGCCCAGACCTTCGCCTCCCCTCTGTCGCCGTCTGCTGTCGCGACGCTCTCCGTCGTCTGGCGTTCGCCCATGACCGCACCATGGCCAAGCTCCATGAAGCCTCCGGCATTGGCGCCACAGCCAACAACCCACTGCCCCCACCTGCAAAGGTCGACGTCGACCGGTCGTCTGCCTCTGGTGGCATCCCGACATCCGCGCTTTCTCCTGACGATGTCGATCAGTTGGTCCATGCCTCCATTGCTACCCTTGACACAGCCGCCCATCTCACCCAACAAGGCCCGGATACCGAACCTACCGCCGCCAACGTCCTCGCTGCCATTCCTGCCCCGGTCGGCGTCTCTGCCGCTATGCAGGAGCGCATCGGCGTCACTGACTTTGACAACGTCATCGGTAACCTCGTCACCACCGCTGCCACCATGGCCACTACATCTCATGCCGGAAATGACGATGCTGTCGCAGATGCTGTCGCAGCTGCCACGGCCCTCTCCCGCCCACATTGGCTTGTCGCCAAGTTGGACGTCTCACCCCTCCTGCAGGTCTCCTGCAACCATCCTTGCCAATTCATCCAGCTGCCGGCCCCGCTACCGCTGCCGCAGCAACGCCAGTTGCTGCACCTGCCGCAACCGCCGCAGGCTACTCCACGATCCCCATGCGGAGCGTTCGCGGTCTCACCAAGGACATCAACAAAGGCTTCAAGGACGTGAACAAGCAAGCCATCGAAGCGGTCGTCGGCGCTCCAACCCCTGACCATCCAGCTCTCCACCCCAACCCTGCCGCTCGCAACCATCCCATGCAGCAGTGGACGCCACGCGTGGCTCTCGAACGTGTCCAGCTCATCGACACCACCATCTCCTCCTCGCTGGGCACCGTCGACTGGCTGCGCCACTCTCATACCCTGCCGTTCGACCTGCGCGAACCCTCGAACACGGCTGCTCCCCAACCCGACCCTGGTCGCTCGCCAAACGTCCCAGAGCAACCGTCTTTCGGCGCTGCACTCCCTAACCGCGCCTCCATCGCCTACATCTCTGCCGACTTTGCCCTCAACTTCCTAGTCATCGCTGGCTCGGCCCTGCTCTACTCGCTTCGTACTTCTATTGTGGATGCAGCTCCCCAGTTTGCCGCTGGTCTCCCACGTCTCGACGACCTCCCCTACCCTCACCAGGAGAACATGAGGCCCGGCCAGCTCGCTATGTACTTGAGTGGTGCCGGAGGCTGCGGCAAGTCACACTGCATCAATGCCCTCAAGGCTCTCTCTCGCTCTTGGGGCTTGTCCAACGGCGTCACTACATCCGCTCCCACCGGTCTCGCCTCCACTCTCATCGATGGCCACACCGTCCACTCCTTGTACTCCGTTCCCATCGGACATCGCAAGGCCACTTGGAACAACTCGCCCTCACCACTCACCCCCTACCTCCGCGCCGCACACATTCACGTCATCGACGAGGTCTCCATGCTCTCCATCACAACCCTTACCTACATTCACTGCGCCTTGTGCAAGGCCAACGATATGCCTCCCTTTGACTCCAACACCCCTCTCTTCGGCGGTGCGAACGTGGTCTTTGTCGGTGACCTCGCTCAGCTCGCCCCAGTCCTCGCCCACCCTGTCTACATCCATTTCGAAACCTACCTCAGCACCAGACAGCGCGCCCAGCGCGCCGCTCGCCTACACAATGCAACCACAGAATTCGAAGACATCGGTGTCAACCTCTGGGCCGCTGCCTCGGCTGCAGTCGTCATCCTTAAGATCAACAACAGAGCCCGCAGCGACCCAGCCTTTGGCCATCAACTCGCCATCGCACGCAACGGCAGCTTCGCCCCAAACGGCTCCGTCGCCAACCTCATGCGCAGCCGCACCTTCGCCACCGCCGCCGGCCGGGCGAAGGCTATCGCAGCCGCCCTAACAACTGCCTCTGCCCTCGACACTCGAATCATTGTCTGCTCGAACGCTGCTCGCGTTGCTTGGAATACCACCATTTATGCTCGCATCGCCGCAGGTGCACACGCTGCCGAAGCCCCGCCGCCGATCATGGTTGAAGCCGTCATCTCCATCGCTTGCTCCCCACCTCGCGACTCAACCCGCAACCTTCTCCTTCGCCTTCCCGGCTCAAGCGCCACTTGCTACTACGACATGCGTGTCCTGCTCGCCATCGGAACTCCCGTCATGTTCATCGACAACATCGCCACCTCCGCTGCCATCTGCAACGGCACAACTGGTATCGTCGTCGGCGTCGTCTTCCCTGACAACGTCACATTCGTACACAAGATCCTCTCTCGCTCCGTCCCCAACTCGGTCGTACGCATCCCCAACACCCTCCCTGCTGTGGTCTACGTCGACGTTCCGTCCCTCCGTGGCCGCACCTCACACCTACCAGGCACTTCCTCACACCTACCAGGCACTTCCGTCGTCGCTGTCGTGCCTCGCGCCGCTTCTGGATGCCGGCTCACCGTCCCTTCAGCCAACAGAACCGCACATGCCCCAACCAAGATCAACTTCTCCCTTCGCCAACTGCCCATCGTCTCCGCTTTTGCCTCCACCGTCCACAAGGTCCAAGGCACTAGCCTCTCCGTCGCCATCATCCCCGCCTTTGCCGAGAAGACCAACTCACCCCACGCGACTCTCTCTGCTTAGGCTCTCTACGTCGCCATGTCCAGAGCACGAACTCGCAGTGGCCTCATCTTCTTCCAGTCGCCCACATTCAACTATCTCAACCGCCTCAAGTTGCCTGACAACCTCAAACGCGAGTTGCAGCGCACCACAGCCAACGACGTCGCCCCGCCACTCACGCAGTAGATAGATCCAGCATCAATGAAGTCACAACCTATACCTGGGGGGAAAGACCGCGTGACTCGGGATGCAGCGGGCGGCCGTAGGCCCCCGCCGAGGTCTCATCCGTGCGCAACTTGTTGCGCACGGATGAGACCTCGTCACAGCCTCCGATCAGTGTCACACGCCGCGCGTGCTCACAACCGCAACCTAATACCGTACCTGCAGCATCAACCATCACAGTCCCGACGATCTCCGGCGCCAGAGTACTCCACCCTCCGGGTGGGACCAATCTGCATGATTAAAGTGAATCACACACGCACGCAGAGGAGGATTGATGCGTGGTTGATCGGTTGATCTTCAGTTCCCGCGAAAACGCGAGAGGCAAGACGGTGTTCCATGGGACGTTTACTTTTGGATGATGCCAAGAGCGGATTCGGCGATGTAGGCGATGTAGGCGTGTGCGAGACGGCAGTCGCTGGAGCGGCGTTGTGAGGGAGGGACGTTCTGGGCGAGGGCAAAGGAAAAGCGCATGTATTGAGTAGATGTGATCGAGGGCAGGCGGGGGTGAAGGCGGGCAAGCCGAAGCAGGGCGATCCAAGCGGCGCATGCCGGTCTGCAGGCAGGTTGTCTCTCCGGTCGGGCGGCGAACGAGCACAGTCTACGGATCGTCCATTTCCATCAACAGCTCCTCAAAGCCGCCCAACAAGTCCACGACAGAGGCGGAGGTGACGACCGACTCCCCTACGGAGGAGCGGTTCCCGGCGACGGGCGGGTCAAGAAGGGCCACAAAGGAGCCGATGTCTTCGGAGGCAGTTGGCGGCGGTGGCGGGTTGTCGACGACAAAGGCGGGCTGGACGTCGGTGGCGGGAGCAAGACCTGCTCCGTAGAGGGACGGGGCGGGCGAGGTGGAGACGGCGAGGCCGGCGACGGGTGTGGTGGAGAGCGACGAGCCTGGCGAGGACGAGACCGAGTGGACGGTGGACTTGAAGGGTGAGACTGTGGGCAGCGAGCCGTAGGAGCCGACGGAGGAGAGGGAGGCGGCGCCGTGCGGATACGAGCCGATGGAGCCAAAGGGTGGGGTGAGGCGTGAGGCGGGCCGCGAGGCGGCGGAGCCGACAATCATTCTCGGTGACGAGACGGAGCCACCCGAGGCGGAGGCGAGGACGGAGAAGGGCGGGGTGACGGGATTGGCCATGTCGGATAGCGAGGTGACGACGCGGGCGGGAACGGCGACGGCGGGGTCCGGAACCGGAAGCGGCGACGAGGGCTCTGTCGTGTGTGTCGCTGGATGGGCAACGGTCGTGGAGGCGGGCGCTGCGGCGGATGACGACTCGAGTGCGATGGAGAGGGAGGAGGGGACAGAGCGGCGGTTGCGATTGACTCTGCGCTTGGCAAAGACGGGCGGGAGCTCACAGGCGACTTCTTGGGCGGCGCCGGCGAAGGAGCGCGAGCGCAGCGGGCGCGGCGGGGTGGACTGGCCCGCGGCCTGCGGGGCGAGGGCGGCGGCAACTGGCGGGACGGAGGCGAGGTCGCGTTCCGGCACGGGCGGCTTGGAGTCTGTTGCGGCGGGAGCGGCGGGATCGCGAAAGAGGGTGTCGCGGACGTGGGCATCTGCTGACGGGGTGAGCGGGGTGGCGAGTGGGGCAGGCTTTGGGCGCGGCGGGGAGCGGAGGCGGACGGGCGAGTTGACGGGGATGGCGGAGGGCGAGACTGTGGCGAGGAACTCGCCGTGGATGTCCTCTGGCGAGAGGGCGAGGATGTCGGCGACGGTGGAGCCTGTGGCATCTGTTGCGGGGGGGGAGGAGGAGAGGAGGGCGGCGCAGGAGTCGTAGGTGACAGACATGGAGATGACGGCAAACGGGGCGTGGACGGGCGGCAGGTCTACGGAGTTGAGGGAGGCGTTTGGGCGAAAGCCGGTGCGGCGGGTGGCGAGATCGCCTGTGGCGACGGTGACAAAGGTAGCGAGGTGCGGGATGATTGAGGCGTCGATGTTGCGCTTGAGGGTGTGGCACGGCAAGAGGTGGAGGCGTGCAAGGAGCGAGCGGAGGAGTATGGCGATGTGCTCGTTGGCGAGGAGAGTGGGGCGCGGCAGGCGCTTACGGTCTGCAGAGTCGCGGTAGGGGCGATGGCAAGTGCGACGCGCTCGACAAGGAGCGGGCCGGGGTGTGGATGGCCGGCTTGGTCGACGACATGCACACCCGGGATTGTGGGAGCGAGCCAGGTCTCGAGGAACCACGAGGCGTGGAGGTTGGACTGGTCGGGCAGCAGCGGGAGGACGAGAGCGGAGACGTCGTCCCACAGCTTTGTCACGATGCGGTAGCTGGTGTCGGGAGTTGTGGGTAGGTTGCAGTCGTGGAGGGGGATCCAAGCCGAGGCGCGGGCGGGTGCGGAGCGGAGCGAGGAGGAGGAGGAGGAGGAGGAGGAGGAGGAGGAGGAGGAGGAGGAGAGCGAGGAGGCAGGCGAGAACGGTGAGGCGAGGTCGAGGGGGGCGTTGACGTCGGAGCGGTAGATAGCAGGGAGAGGCGGATGGGAGCGGCGAGCGCCAGCCAGCATGGACAAGGATTTGAGAATGAGGTTCCGTGTGGCAGCATGTCGAGATGGGCGGGTGTTTGCTGGCGAGGCGGCCACGTCCATGTGAGGATGTGTCGGGGACGGGGTGGTGTTGTTGTTCTTCCGGTAGTTTGAGAACGAGAATTTGGCGAGATGTGCAAGGGTGTTCGAGAGGCAGCAAGGAACAATGGATGGGGCAAGACGGGGAGGGGATGGTTTTGGTTTACAAGCGCGACGAGGGCATGATGTGGTGGTCGAGCCAGGCGACAGGCACGGTGACCAACATGGTGGACAAGACAATCTGGGCATAGGACTTGCCCTGGCGATCGAGTCTAAGCGAGCGCATGCCGCCGCCGCCGAGAGCGCTGCGGCAGACAAAGTTGACAGCGGCGAGGCCCGGGAGGTCGTACCTCACGATGTGGCCGTCGACCAGGTGAGCGAGGATGTTTGCGATTGCGTCTGTGGTGAGCTGGGCCTTGATTTCGGGGTAAAACTCGCGGCGGCGTGCGATGATGCCGATGTTTGCGGCGTCGCCCTTGTCGCCGGAGCGGCCCCAGGCGATGGCGATGAGCGGGACGGTGGCGCGCGGACCGGATATGGTTGCGGGGGGGATTTCGGCGGGCGGGGGAGTTGCGGGCGGCGGATGCAAAGGCTCGGGATGAGGCTCGAGAAAGTGGAGTGGATGGTCTGTACCGCAGACCATTGTGAGAGTGGAGATGGCTGATTTTGGGACAAGGGCGGCGGAGTAGGAGATGCAGGGGACGGGGCGCGGGCGGCCGGTTGTGGCGGCGCAGAGGCCCGGGGCCATTCCTGTGGCAGCCGGGGCGACTTCTTTGGCAAAGGCGCGCAGGGCGGCGGGGTTTGTGTGCTTTGCGACGAGGCGGAGGACGACCTCTTTTGCGGCGGAGGGGTAAGAGGGGCCGAAGAGGGCGCCGGCGCCGAGAATTTCGACGCGAGTGTCGAGGAAGGGTTGCTCGTTTCGGGAGGCGAGGGCTGAGGTTGCGCGGAGGAAGATGGCGTTTGCGACGGCTTTGGCCTTTGCGGGGGCATCGAAGCCGGGGACGAGGAGCGAAGCCTCTGCGCGGTAGCCGTCGAGGAGAGTGAGGCCGAGCTTGAGGAAAGGGGTGGGCGGGAGGCCGCGAGCGCCTGCGACGGCGACGACGTCCTCGCCGAGTTGAGTGAGGGAGACATTTCGCCAGTCGCAGACGACGTCGGGCAGGATGTAGGCAGCGGGGTCTGCGATCTCGTAGACGATCTGCTCTGAGACTGTTCCGACGGTGACGAGGCCGCCTGTGTGTGGCGGCTTTGTGATGACGAAGCGGCCGTCTGGCCAGACCTCTGCAATGGGGAAGCCAATGTTGGCCCAGGAGCAGTTGTGGGGGCCTGCGGAAGCGGAAGCCTTCCAGTCTGTAAAGTTGCCGCCTGTGGACTGGGCGCCGCACTCGAGAATGTGTCCGGCGAGCGAGCCGGCGGAGAGCTTGTGGTAGTCGTGGGGCGACCATGCAAAGGCGGACATGAGGGCGGCGAGGACGAGAGCCGAGTCGACGCAGCGGCCTGTGACAACAAAGTCGGCGCCGGCGTCGAGGGCCATGGCCAGACCTGTGGCACCAAAGTAGACGTTTGCGGACATGGGCGGTGTGTGTGTGGGCGGCAGGGAGTCGGGCTCGCCGGCTGTGGAGACGGGGCGGAAGAGGGGCCTGAGGTCGTCTAGGATGTCGACGACGTCGTCGCCATAGACGACGGCGATGCGCGGGAGTCGCGGGAGCGAGTCGGCGACGCTCGCGGCATGGTTGTCGAGCACTGTCTTGAGGCGGATGGGGTCGAGGCCGCCGGCGTTGGTCAAGACCTTGACACCCTGGGCCAGGATGTCGGGCAGGAGCGGCTTGAAGACGGAGGAGACAAAGTCGGGGACATAGCCGAGGGCGGGGTCGCGCTGGCGGGCTTTTGTTAGCAGGCACATGGTGACCTCGGCCAGGTAGTCGCCGACCAGGTAGTCCAGGTTGCCGGAGGCGATTAGTTGTGCGGCGGCGGTTGGGGAGTCACCCCAGAAGGCCGAGAAGCAGCCGACACGGACGGTTGGGGGGGTTGCGGCCATTGGGGGGGTGTGTGTGGGGGGGGGTGTGGTGGTGGGGGAGGGGT